GTTTCGCTTCACTTTATCCGTGTCAGTGTTTAAGTAAAGTACTTGAGGTCATCATGGAAAATATGGTAGTTACGTGAATCTCGGCAGAAACATTTTACTGGAAATGTAGCAAATGATATTAATTGAACTTAATTAAAAAGCAATCTTTTATAATAATTGAAAACTTATGTAAATATTCATGTTGAAACCTTACAAAACGTACTCTGCGTGTTCCCTCCTTGTCGTGTAATTATATAGTCTAACAGTATGTAATGTAGAAATACTTGTGTTTGTTTGTTTTGAGTTTCGCGCAGAGCTACACGAGGGCTATCTGCGCTAGCCGTCCCCAATTTAGCAGTGTAAGACTAGAGGGAAGGCAGCTAGTCATCACCACCCACCGCCAACTCTTGGGCTACTCTTTTACCAACGAATAGTGGGATTGACCGCTCGTTATTACACCCCCACGGCTGAAAGGGCGAGCATGTTTGGTGTGACGGAGATTCGAACCCGCGACCCGCAGATTGCGAGTCGAGCTCCCTAACCACCCTAACATAACTTCTTATGTGCTCGTAGCATAAATTCATATGTGCCCGTAACATAACTTCATGTGTGCCCGTAACATAACTTCTTGTGTGCCCGTAACATAACTTCTTGTGTGCTCGTAAAATAACTTCGTGTGTGCCCGTAACATAACTTCATATGTGCTCGTAACATAACTTCATATGTGCCCGTAAAATAACTTCATATGTGCCCGTAACATAACTTCATATGTGCCCGTAACATAACTTCATATGTGCCTGTAAAATAACTTCATATGTGCCCGTAACATAACTTCGTGTGTGCCCGTAACATAACTTCATATGTGCCTGTTACATGACTTCATACGTACCCATAACATAGCTTTATATTTGCCCGTAACATAACTTCAAATGTGCCCGTAACATAACTTCAAATGTGCCCGTAACATAACTTCATATGTGCCCGTAACATAACTTCGTGTGTGCCCGTAACATAACTTCATATGTGCCTGTTACATGACTTCATACGTACCCATAACATAGCTTTATATTTGCCCGTAACATATTATTAGAACGTTTAAAATATACCATCATAACATACATAGCATATTATCAGAACTAACAAATATACCATCAAATACATGGTATACCATCAGAATCTACATAGAATCACACATATTATCATAAAATAACATCAGTTGTACATAAGATAACATCGAGAAATACATAGAATATCCTCAGAGGTATCAAACATATTATTGGTGTGAACATGCTTTGTGTTCACTATGAGAAAAACCAATACAGAGGTACATAATATATAATGAAATATCTAATATAATCATGGTTCAAGTTTATTTATTATTATCCTCAGATATACATAATATATAATGAAATATCTAATATAATCATGGTTCAAGTTTATTTATTATTATCCTCAGAGGTACATAATATATATAATGAAATATCTAATATAATCATGGTTCAAGTTTATTTATTATTATCCTCAGAGGTACATAATATGTAATGAAATATCTAATATAATCATGGTTCAAGTTTATTTATTTATTATTATCCTCAGAGGTACATAATATATAATGAAATTATCTAATATAATCATGGTTCAAGTTTATTTATTATTATCCTCAGAGGTACATAATATATTATGAAATGTCTAATATAATCATGGTTCAAGTTTATTTATTATTATCCTCAGAGGTACATAATATATATAATGAAATATCTAATATAATCATGGTTCAAGTTTATTTATTTATTATTATCCTCAGAGGTACATAATATATAATGAAATGTCTAATATAATCAACCAAAAACTTCATTTGGTGACACACATCAGGGTTATCTTCTTTTGCGGGCTAGGAAAATCGAGTAATTGTTTGTTTGTTTAATTTCGTGATAAACTACACGAGGGCTGTCTATGCTAGCCATCCCTACTTTAGAATTGACAGACAAGAGGGAAGGCAGCCTAGTTAACACCATTCACCATCAACTCTTGGGTTACTCTTTTTTTCACCAACGAAAAATGTGGTTGACCATCACATTATATTGCCTCCGCGGCTGAAAGGGCAGGCATGTTCGGTGACGGAATTTAAACCCAGAACCCCTAAATTGCGAGTCAAGCGCCCTAACCACCAGAACATGCCACACCACCAGTAACTGTAAAAGTAAGTTTTATTTTTTATTTCTGTTTTGAAGAGTTTATCGGAACTCGCACGTTTCATATAATATCACAAGTAATTACAAAAGAGTCAGAGAAAACAAGTACTTTACTTGTATCTCGACCAGTGCGTGATGTTTCTAATGAAATGTCTTGTAAAAAACGCGGACTTTATTTCGTTCGAAATGATAAGAGCATGGAATCTAATTATCCTTATATGCAGTGTTTAAAGAGTTGATTACAAAACTACAGCGGCACCAAAATTGCAAAATTTATTTTCCCAACATAAGTTACACACGTCGTTTATAGACAACAGAATCCAGCGCTGCACCAATTAAAACCTATCACGTGAGATGTGATTTAAGATGTTCTGTTAGCGTCGACAATCATTTATAACATCCAGCGCGTTCTACATTAAATGAATTCTCTAAACTATTGTATTTTCATTCGATTCTAATGATCACCTGGAAGAAAAACACAGAACGAGTTAACGAGATTTAAAAGTCTATCAAGACGCTTCATTTTTAAGAGAAGACACGTAGAAAGAGACGTTTAGAGTATAAAGAAGACAAATGTCTGAGTTAGAAGACAACATTGAAAGTTGAAAACTGATCAAGTTCGAACGCGATTTTTTCAGTTTAACGATTTTATTTTTGCTTTTTTTTTGTTGTTGTTGTTTGTTTGCAGTTAAGCACAAAGCTACACAATGAGCTATCTGTGGTGTATCCACCGCGGGTATCAAAACCCGGTTTTAAGCGAATAGTTATGGATCCTAGAAAATCATTACAATTTGACTTAGAACACAATACTTAGAGTTGTTGGAGAACTAATGGGATAGGAGACAAGTAATTAAATTACAATATTTAGAGTTTAAAAACGACAATAACTGTTTGAGTTCGAAGACGTTATTTGTAAGCTAATAGAACAATAGTTCGTTTATTTATTTGATTGATATTATAAAACACAACAGATAAGTTGATAGCAGACATTTGTTATGTTGCTAAAATCCCAAAGTATAAGCTTTAGTTTGTGTATTAATTTAATTTCTTTGTCCATGAGATAATCATTATTATTAGTTTGATCTAGTTGTTTGATATAAGATAAAATAACTGAAAGTAATAGATGTCGCTGTTTTTCCTTTAAATGTTAGATATCAAATTTGATATGACTGTTATGTTTTCTTGAAATATTTGTGTGCATATTTTTACCTCCATGTGTATATGTATTTCACGACTTTTAATGCCCTTAACAAACTGTATTTAAAATATATATATATATTTGAAGCGAAAAAGTTTAGAGAAGTTTCAAAAATATACATCAGAATTGTTCAGTATGATAACCCAAGATGGAGCTTTTTTTTCCCGAATTATTAAAAACAACTCTTCAAAATTCCATAAGCAAAGACTACGACTTATTCAAACCTTACTTCGTATAAAAACACGCTGACATGAACTGAATAAAGGAACTTAAATCCAAGTAATTATATTACATACTCGTTTTCTTATGAAGTGAATATTTAAGGTGTAATTCGCCAGTAGAAAAAGATCATTTTATGTATCCAAACTTAATTAACAAATATTTGCTTCTTATATTTTGAAAATAGCTATTACTATGAAAATATCTTTTTCACAGTACGTGTAACTGTATTTATCATCTTTTTCTTTCCTACAGATGGCGTTCTTTTAAACATTTCATGTGACTGGAAATGAGAAGCGGGAAAACAAACTTGAAATAATCAATAAACTAAAAACTATATAAACGAAAGGCGATGAAAAAAGCAGCGAAATAAAGAAGAGTTAGTCTAAAACTTATATTCCAGGTGACACTTTCCCCCTACTCTTTGTTAATCGATCGTTGTCGTCGTTCAACTTCATATATAAACCAATCACTCTTTGGAAAAAGAAAACTTTAATTGTCCTAAACGAGTCTTGAGGTTCTAACTCTGCATGAGTTGAGCATGATGAAATCTGACATCTTTAGAAACAAATGCACACTAAGAAATTATAAATATTCATTTTTAGTCTAGCGTATTCATCCAAAAACAAATAAAATAAGTACTTTCAAGTGTGCTAGCGTATTCATTCAAGAACAAATAAAATATATACTTTTAAGTGTGCTAGCGTATTCATCCAAAAACAAATAAAATATATACTTTTAAGTGTGCTAGCGTATTCATCCAAGAACAAATAAAATATATACTTTTAAGTGTGCTAGCGTATTCATCCAAAAACAAATAAAATATATACTTTTAAGTGTGCTAGCGTATTCAATCAAAAACAAATAAAATATATACTTTTAAGTGTGCTAGCGTATTCATCCAAAAAACAAATAAAATATATACTTTTAAATGTGCTAGCGTATTCATCCAAAAAAAATAAAATAAGTACTTTCAAGTGTGCCTCAAAATAATGAAAGTATGGTCCCTCATAAATGTAAATAAGTCCCTCCTTAATATCGGTGTGGTCCCTTATTAACGTAACTGTGACCCCAGTTGATATAATTGCGGTCCCTAATCCCATTAACTGCAACTTCCGGTTAATGTGTTATCCCTGTAAACATTAATGTGGCCCCTTGTTAATAGATCTGAATACGCAATAATATAAGTATGCCCCCCCCACACACACACACACACCCCTGTAAATGTATTTCTTAATAGATGTGATTGTAACACACCGAGTAATGAATAATATTTCTTGGAAAAGTTGTGAGATCAGAGTATGGTTTCTTTTAGATAATTAACAAAAGAGAACTAAAACTAAATAAAGTCAACTTTCTTATGAGAAACCTAGAATATTTCATTTTATACAAACGTGTTTTTCTATTTCAAGATGAACAAAATATCAGCAAATGTTTCAATCTTGAACAAATATCTTTTCAATTATTCTCATTTAACTTCCTTACATATCAACATTCTTAATGCCAGTAATTATGACTTTAACACTACATTTCCTTCTAACCTTTCCCAAGTTGACGTTACACCGAACGAAAGAAGCGTGTTTGTCCTTTCTTTTATTTCTGTAGTATTGGGTTTCCTTACTCTAATCACAGCAACCGGTAACATCTTCGTCATTGCCGCCATTTTAACGGATCGAATTCTTAGATCGGTTGGTAACTATTTAATTCTTTCTCTAGCCGTGGCAGATTTAATGGTAGCTTGTCTCGTGATGCCTTTAAGTGCTGTTTATGAGATTATGCGGGAATGGCGGATGGGATCGATACTGTGTGAAGTATGGATATCCTGTGACGTCTTGTGCTGCACAGCGTCCATTCTTCATCTGTTGATTATCGCTGTTGACCGGTACAGAGCAGTTACTCGTTTAGATTACGTCCGACAGAGAAATCCGAGGGACATTGGGCTTATGATTTTATTTACTTGGGTCGTTGCAATAACGATTTCGCTGCTTCCTATCTTTGGGTGGAAAGATAAAGACTTCCGAGATCGGATAGTCATAGAAAAGAAATGCCTAATCAGTCAAGACGTCGCCTATCAAGTGTTTGCCACATGTTCGTCGTTTTTTTTCCCCTTGGTGGTTATTCTCGTTCTCTACTGGAGAATTTTCCAAGAGGCTCGTCAAAGAATCCGCAACAAACCAGGAACTACGATTTCTCTTCTGGTCAAAAAATCATATGCAAAATATTCAGAGCCAACTACCAGCGAAGTTACAGAAACGACAAAAAGTATTTCGACGCCATCTTGTTCAACGGATTCAAATTCTGTGAGCTATACTTCAACACCCATAAAGACCAAGAAAATGAAAGACAACTTACTGCGCATTGATACCTTTCTCAATAAACAGCCTAGAGATCTGGAATCTAAACGTGAGAAAAAAGCTGCAAAAACACTTGCAATCATTACCGGTGTGTTTATCGTATGTTGGATGCCATTTTTCATTTTAGCATTCACCATGCCCATCTGTAACAGCTGTTACTTCGACGAAAGACTTTTTACCACATCTCAGTGGTTAGGTTACACTAATTCAATGCTTAATCCTATTATCTATACAATTTTTAGCCCAGACTTTCGTCAAGCATTTAAGAAAATATTATGTGGTGTTTCTCAAAGACATAGAACCAATTTATAATTATTTACTTGGAAATATTTACGGCATCATATTAGATATTTGTGTATTACACCGTGACGCGATTTTCGTAAGATATAAAAATCTTTAAACTTATCCAAATGTGCATTATACGTGTGTATCAAAAAAAAAAACTAGAAATTCTGCCCTTTTTGAACCCTGGCAAAGGAAAAAAGAAACAATTATCTGAAAATTCGAATGTTTTAGTTGTTTCATTTTGTGCTCAAAAATATAGAAATATTTTTTTAATTTGTCAGGCAATGTAGTACCTAACAAGCACTTTCGAGGTATTTATTACGTTGATTTTTAAAGTAAAAAAGCAGAATATTCTGAAACACAGTTACAGCTTTAAAATATGTTCATTTATTTATAATACACCATAACGACAAAGGATGAAAACTGGAAAAGTAAATAACTCCTATTATATACGCATACATCTAATCTAGTATTTGAAAATACGTCCATCAACTATAATTATTTCTTACCTACGATGACGGGCTCATGTGTGTATTATAAAGTGATTTATGATATTGGTATTTTAAGCCTGAATTACACAAATGAATTAGAAGTTTGGTCAGAAACTCCTTGGATTCACCTTCCTAATTTTGAACTCCTAACCAGAGGGAAAGCAGCCAGTGAGTAGCACCTGCCACCACAACAGTTGTGGCCGCCATTAATTAACTGTCACTCTTATTATGCACTCTGCAGTACGAATCGTATTTTGCAGCATCAGACGACCCTTGGCCCATCTAACTTAGAGTTCGAGAGGCTAGCCAATAGGCCACGCTCTGCTTTAATTTGTTTTATGTTCATAAGTCCTTGTTTCTGTTTATCTGTAATTTTCAGGTGTTCAAAATTACTGTTGACTAATTGTGTTAGGCGTGAACATTTTTAGCTAACAGAAAAAATAGAAAGACATGGTTTACTCTAATTATAAGTGGATATATAAATATAATACTCTATTCTACTTATTACTAGAATATATTTCAGTATTGGTATGTTGTATTAACTCTCTTCTAAACTTCGCTTATAACGTTTACAATGCTTCTTTCACTGTTCCCTGTCCTTTGCAAGTGGAATATTTTGTCTTGTAGTTTCTTACAATTACGTGTGTTTGTGGTTCTTATTATTCTATTGTTGTACGTTTATATCAATTAAATGTGAGTGTTTGTGCTTTAAATCTCAAAAATAAACTACATTTCTTGTACATTAAACTGAAACTTTTTTTAATGGCTATCACATCAGATCTTAAAACATATCCTTATAATAATAATTTGTAGACGAACAAGCTAACCCTAATTCCTCACGCACAGTGTTAGATATTCCATAATAAGTGCTTTGAATATATATACATTAAATGTAATAACAGTCAAACACACAATAAAAAAGATTTAGCATTCACACGACACATTGTTAATTGTTAAAATATCTTGGTATCTGTCACATTGATTACAAGAACAAGTTCTTTTGCAAACACTGATTTGTACTTACATACGGGACATACAGATTGGGTAATTATTAGTTTGAAATAAGTTGAAAATGTTTGCTTACGCGCTAAATATAAATAAATTACGCATATTTAGCGGTTTCGAAAGATGTTTAAAAACTACTTTAAGTTTACTTGCAAAAAAAAGAAGTCCATATTGGGACTGATAATTTTAAAACAAGTTGAAAACTTTAGTTTATCCTTTTAAAAAATGACTATGTAACAGGCTTCAGTTTACATCTGTATTAAAACGTAAAGTTACTCAAATGAGCTATCAGCGCGGTACCCACCGCGAGTATCAGACCGCGATTGATGTAAAAAGTAATTTTGAAACAGTTTGAAAATACTATTTTATAACTAAAAGGAGAAATTCAATCTACGTAATTATTAATACTTAACTAATTTGAAATGACTAATATACACACAAAATAGAAATTTAAGTTATTCAATAAGTCATTCTGAAGAAATAAAACTATTAAATAAATAATTTCGAAAAAGAAATTAACTAAACTTATAACTTATGCCTGATTAATTTAAGACTTTATAATAACTAATTTTGAAACAAGATGAAAATAATAATTAACAATTAAAAATATGTAGATAAATAGATGGATTTAGTTGCTCAAAATTTGTAGAATCCAACAAGTTTTCACGAGAACCATGAAGAAAACTTGAAAGTGTTGGAAAGTTCATAATCTCATTAACCAGAAAGTCAAACACAAGAAAAAGTTCGAACTTATCAATTTTATTATTATGAAAAAAATTCCAATCCTATCTGAAATTTTATGGGTGCACGAACAGTTTAATAAAACCTACAACTTATAAAGTTTCAAGGAAGGCATAATTAATCATATTATACTACTACAAAAACGAACGTTTAATTTCCAGACACAAAGAAAATAATGTACAATTAACACTGGCGTTTCAATTTCAGGCAGACATATCAGGTTAGAGAAATTTAATGAAATACAACTGCCTGTTGAACGAAAAGCCAAAGGGGACGACGTTTTTTTTGTTCGTTTTCAATTTCACGCAAAGCTATACGAGGGATATCTGCGCTAGCCGTCCCTAATTTAGCATGTAAGACAGCTAAAGGCAGATAATCATCACCACCCACCGCCAACTCTTGGGCTACTCTTTTACTAACGAATAGTGGGATTGATTGTCATATTATAACGCCCCTACGGCTGAAAGGGTTAGCATGTTTGGTGGGACGGGGATTCGAACGTGCGACCTTCAGGTTGCGAGATCGAGCGCCCTAACCACCTGGCCATGCTGGGCACATGATGTTTTGACTTCTATACTGAAACCTTCTTTAGGTAAACATCACATTTAAAGAGAAGCAGGCTTCCGTATAAAGTCCACTAAAGTTCTCAAACTACTTTTACTACTGTAAAGTCATTTTGTGCTCAACCTAAGAATATATATACTTAAAATATAAAATATTTCAGTTTTTTTTTTTGATAAATTAATCAATTTTATAATTCCCCTTTCGACAGAGAAAGAAATGGTAACATAGTCTAATATAGGCAGGTTTATATTTGCTTTCAAATATTATTTTTATAAATATCAATGAGGAAATAATGTTTTGTTACGTCTCCGTTTTTTAAATAACTTTCCGTAACTTCGTTCCGACGAAACTTTAGCGACACAAGTCCTTACTTAATAAAACTGGTTTATTCTTTCCGAATATAACTTTACCGATACACTCAACTTCAACAATCGCGCTAAAACAAGCGCTACAACAACGAACGTGCTCAATAATGCTCTCTGACTGCAGATCAATTACTCACTGTCTACACACACATATATATCTTTTTCCGTCACGTTTTCACCCTCTTATATCTTATATCTTTACCGAT